AAAGGTGGAAAAAGGTGGTACGGACAACCGACGCCACCTGCATTTCCATGGTGAGCGTCGGGTCCAAGTATATGCCCAAGCTGCGGAGCCCACTCTTCGTGGCCAGGGTCACCCCCCCCCCAAATGTGAGTCACCCAAGCCGCCAGCCACGGGGCCACCCACCCTCAGAACAGTTGTCTTGCGGGAGGTAGTAGAAATAGCACCACCACATTCAAGAATGATTCCAACTGTTAGTAGACACATTGACTTAACAGGACTTTGATAAGTACCCACTTATGCAATGTCCATTGGCGGAAATCCTGTTGCACAGCTTAATGTGTGTAACATGAAGCTTCGGAATTGATAGAGACAATTGTGGCAGAGTGGAAGCAAGTTGTCTTGCGGGAGGTAGTAGAAATAGCACCACCACATTCAAGAATGATTCCAACTGTTAGTAGACACATTGACTTAACAGGACTTTGATAAGTACCCACTTATGCAATGTCCATTGGCGGAAATCCTGTTGCACAGCTTAATGTGTGTAACATGAAGCTTCGGAATTGATAGAGACAATTGTGGCAGAGTGGAAGCAACACCCACCCACAAAGCACTTTTGCAGGCTTCTCATGGAGCATTCCTGTTGCAAACCACACCATCAATTGCACAAGTGCAACATGAATAATTATGAATTTGTGCAATTAATTGTGCAACTGCAATGTGAACCATGTGATTGAGTGCACAGTGCTATCTGACTGGGCTACACCTTCCACAGGTGTAGCTTTACATTAAAACAAACTGAACAGAATTTCAGCTGTTGAGCTGCTGGGTGTACTCTAAGGGGGGAAGATCAGCTGGATTTAGCTAAGTGTCTGAACTGCTCATTCACTGCTAAAACCAGTGCATCTCTGATGTGGGCTTCTCAAAAACAGGCATTTGGTTCAGTCCTTGTTCTGAATGGTTAGACAGCATGCATACTGAAATGTTAAGAATTTGGGTGCAGTATATGCGCTATATGTTGAAAACAGTGCTCCAGCCACACTCTGTTAGACAGCATGCATACTGAAACGTTAAGAATTTGGGTATATGCGCTGTATGTTGAAAACAGTGCTCCAGCCACACTCTGATTCCAGTTTCATTGCTCTCGTACAGACGGAGAGCAGTGAGTTAGAAAAGGCAGGACTCTCTGGATGCTCTCCCCACAAAGACCCTGGAAAATCAGGGTTTTCTTACAATACCTTTAAAACTGTCTTTCCTCCTATGCATGGAGGGCAACAAAACCAGATAAAGAAGGAATGAGGCTACATTTTTTCCTCTCTCCTTGTGGTGAATATATACAACATTTATAATGTCTGAATACATCTAATCTAGTCAAAATCTTGACTTTCAGAAATAAAAGATCCAAATTCTTCTATTTGGTAATCTAATCACTAGTTACTAATTACCAATCACAATTACTAATCTCAACTCAATACCATTTTAGAACACTGCTTATTCTTCAAAGTTTTCCCTCACATGTGTTTGGTCTACAGGTAGAATAATCAGATGTCCATATTTTTGCCACTTCTTGGGAATGTCCATGAACTGGAAACATTTAACAATTTCCTGCTACCAAAATATACAGGGCCAGCTAAGTGTACAGTCAGAAGGAAGCAAAGTAGCATCATAAACCTTTTGAAACCCATGACAGCTTGACTCTTAAAAAGTGTTTTGTGAGCTCCAAAATCTGATTCTATTAGAAGGTAGGCAAGCAATGCTTCTCTGTTCTAAGAAGCGGATGGCCTCGGGGTAACACTGCGAAAGTAGAAATAAGAACTATTGCAGGAGGGAAATTATGTTCCAGGCAATCCACTTTTTCTACATGGAAGCTTATTTTCCAAGACAGAAAGTTGGCTGGGTGAACATTTGGAGAAATAGGTTCCCTGCATCGTGACAAATGCTAGCATCTATAGCTTGTAAGCCAGAAAGAGTGTTAGAAAAGTGGATCGATCCATGCATAAGGCATTATACTAAAAAAATACCACATTCCCACCACCAAAGGCTGTAGGAAGTAGTTGTTACATACAGCACTGATGTTACCTGTCTGTCATGGGTTTGGAGGGAAAGTTCCATCCTATGGGGAGTGGAGGGCGGGACATCAGGAGGAGGGGCTGTACTGTATAAATATGTGATGCCTGTGTGGTGAGGGAACACACACTGAGAAGATGCTGGGAGACACTGGGTTGTGACGAAGCAGCAGCTGGGAAGAAGAAGCTGTTGTGGGAGTCTGTGTGTCAGACAGGGTACTACTGTGTGTCAGAGTACCAACCTGATAGGTTCAGGTGTCTGTTGGTTAGCCAGAACTGATAGGTTCAGGGTCTGTGCTTTAAGTTAAGGTTCTGTGTGAACCAAACTGTGTGTATGTATGAGTGGAAAAATTAAGGTAGTGGTATCTGCATAATCCAGATGCATTGGAAGGCAGTTTGTTATGAATTATTTTTGTTACAGCTTTAATGAAGATATCAAAGTTATCAAAACAGGTAGGATAAAAGGAAAGAGGAAAAAATAAAAGGAATATCTTTCTCTTCGTGAGGGACGTGGTGGTGCTGCGGGCTAAACCGTAGAAGCCTGTGCTGCAGGGTCAGAAGACCAGCAGTCATAAGATCAAATCCACGACGGGGTGAGCCCCCGTCACTTTGTCCCAGCTCTTTGCGAACCTAGCAGTTCGAAAGCATGCAAATGCAAGTAGATAAATAGGTACCACCTCGGTGGGAAGATAAAATGGCATTCCCTAGTCGCGATGGCCACGTGACAACGGAAGATTGTCTTCGGACAAGTGCTGGCTCTACGGCTTGAAAATGGGATGAGCACCATCCCCTAGAGTCAGACACGACTGGACTGAAAATGTCAAGGGAAACCTTTACCTTTTACCTTACCTACCTTCTCTTTATGCAAGCTTTCCCTCAATGACTGGCTGCCTAAGTGGGGTTATTAAACAGACTGCTGTGCTTTACTGCTTTGAATGTGTTTCTGGTGTTGTTTTTGTTTTGTTTAACAAGGCCTTGGGTCCTTTTTTAAAAGAAAGGCAGAGTAAAAACACTAAAAAGAGAGAAAAAGAAAGAAATAAAGAAAATTGTTTTAGTATAGTATGGCAAGAGGAACTTTTCCCCCCCAAGTTATATTCTGCCTGTCTTCCAAAGAGCTCAAGGGACATCATGTGAAGACGTTAAGGGGAGAAAGGGTAAAGGGCCCCAAGGTCACCCTAGTTTAGTGAGTGAGGTAAACTTCAGCAGAGGGATTCCAGTGAGCTGTTAAAAAAGTCCTGGAAAAGACTGTGCAAAGTCTCAGAGCTAGTTTCTGATTCCAGGGAACAATTCAGTGAAGTGCCTTCCTCCCTTGCAGACCATGGCTGTAGTGGCAGGCAGCAGGAAAGGCACTCTGGATCAGCAAACAGTTCCCTTGGGTGACTGGGAGACCTACCTTTGTTCAAGCGAGCCTTCCCAGGTTTTCAGATCCTCAGAACCCTTCTTCTTTGGACAAAATGCATGGGACAAGAAAAGGCCTTCACGGTGGGTGCCTCCAGGACCTGAGACCCTACTGGTAAGGTGCAGGCTAGCTACACCTGCATTGCCATTCTGGCCCTTGTGCTTTTGAGGGATGGGGTAGAGCAATGTGTGGTGGTTTCATAAAGGGAGTACTATCTGTGACATTAAGAATTGCTTAAGACACATTGCAATCAGTTAAAATAACAGCCAGTGACTGTTTACTTGGATATCTTGAGATTTCCGTCTAAGTAAATACGCATAAGTGTTGCAGCTTTGCAGATCATCTCGTGTGTATGTTTATTCAAACCTAGTGAGTTCATCAAAGTTACCTTCAGGGAAGAATGCTTAATATTACATCCTTCTTGCCTGAGTTTATGTGTGTTTACTAAATAAGTCTTGCTGTGTTCATTATGCCTTAACTCCAGATATGTGCATAACAGTGCTGCTTTAACTGGGCTTATTATTTCAATGGAGCCAAAGAATGTTCTGTTACCTTTAGATATTTCAAGCTTTTCATCTTCAATGTCCCTGCCCCCATTTCCTTAGAATGATGAAGCAAGCCAATGCATTCGATCATCTGCACATTTCATTCAGTGGTTAAAATTTCCACCAGATCTTTGGTGAGTACAGATAATTTATTTCAGTATGAGTCTCTGTACTGGCTCCAGAGCAGGATGAAGAAAAAAACTGGGAAAGAAAGGTTTAATTTTGCCTTCAGATATTCAGAGGAAATGAGAATCTGGCATGTCAGTTTCATCAGAATGAGAAATCTCACAGAACATTTGTTCCCCCTTAAGTACTGATTTTTCCAACATCCAGACAATGTTCCTCTTTCCTTACCTGTTCCCTTGCCCTCCCCTACCTCTACTGGGTTCCAGTTCATTTTTTGGTCCTTCCCGTCTGTTGAGTTTGGGGAGGAGTAATGTGCTATTAGTTGTGTTCCTCCCGTCCAAGCAGCCAACAAACCCTTGTAGCCCAATCAGTTCCCCTTGATTGTCGGCAGAGGGTCAGGGGAACGGACTTTAAAAATATATATTATTCTTTTCTCCCTCTATCAGTGCCATTTGGTTTTCTCTATTCCCCCTCCTTGCTTCCCTTTCCTCATTTTTCTCTCAAAAGGAAAAGCAGCATGCCAAAAAGAATGCATGCCCTACCACTAGGCCAGAAAAGTGTGTGACAGCTCTTAAGGATGGCTTGATCTACATAGAATCTCATGCAGACACTGTCTTTTTTATTATTCAAACTGTGCCATCAGCAATTCATATCTATATGCCAGGGTGGACATCCTCTGAGAGAGGAAAAGAAATCGAATAGGCAGCACCAAAGAGGACAGACTCCTTCCAATTAGACCTCTATCCCTCTACCTTTGAAATCTGGCTCCAGGAAAACACCACTAACTATTGTTTTAATCCCACCCCACCCCTACAACTGCATCCTTTATTAAAATTAGAAGATGAAGAATGAGTTGCATGCAGAAAAACGGACACATGCATGTTGTAAATAGGTTTATTTATATGTAGACAGCAATATATCTACACATGGGTACTGCTGTGTTCCTGAAAGACTAAGCAGCAATGCCTGCAATATATCAGTCTAGAGCAGTTTGACTATACAATCATTCCGATATAACAGGTGCTGAGGGCAAAGTACTTTATCTATGAGTATCTGCTTAGTGTTATTTACTCTTGAAAATTTACAATGCGAGAAACAAAGGCCATAAATGCAATCCTAACTCCCCAACTTCCTTTCTTTATATAAATATGCACATGTCTGTTACCTAATGGCGACTGGCAGCCTCAGGGCAACAGTCCAGGATGAGAAGTTGGCTGCTTTCATCTTACAGGCACTGAGCAAAAACAAAAGCTAAACTAAACTAAATATATATATTTAAAAATGCTTTCTTACTTTCTTTTTGACACAAATTCACTGATTCAACTCAGTGTGTTTCTGCTGCCCCTGGAAACCTCCAGGTCTGGGGAAACAATGACAACAATAAGAACAACAAATAAGAATAAAAGTATAAATAACACACATAAACAAGCTTGTGGACATTCTCAACCCCCAATTTTTTTAAAAAAAAGTTATTTGCAACCAAGCAGTTGAATTGCAGTGCATCCGTGTGCAGGAGCAGGTAGCAGCTTCTGTGCATTTCACAAAAGGATGAAAAAAAAAACGCCACATGTATAGATGCAGACAACGGAAGTCCTTATTGACTAGCTCGGTCTGTAGCTAGGAAGAGGCTGTGTTGCTTCTGTGCTCTTTCCATTAAATTCTTTTTCTTCTTTTTCTTGTCCTTGGCTTTTGGTGGTCTCCTCCCTAAAAAGAGGAATAGAAAAAACAAAAGGAAAAGCCAATGTTCAGCATACAATGAAGTCACTGGTCAAGTAGAGAAACACTACTGTCCTTTTTATATGGGAGAAAGAGAGAGGAGCAGAGAGAGAAAACACATTTCCAATTGTCCTTCTTTAAGAACTAAATCAATGGCTTTTGGCTGCAAATCTACCCACCACTGAGTAGGGAGTGTGTAACTCAGTGGGTGCTACTGCATGGCAACTCCGATCAGTGGTAGTCAACATAATCAGTGGTGAGGGATGCTGATGCTTGCATTCTTGGGAGTGGGGGCATACAACATCATCCTCACTTTACACAGTGTGAATCTTATTGGAGGCAAGAGGGCTTACTTTGTTACAAGCCAATTAACTTCAGGGTTGTACAGAATTTCATAAGTCGACTCGTATAGCATTCACTAGCCAGATAACCTAGAGGCAGTGAGATAAATTCTATTTTAGCCTCAGCTAGAGCAGGAATGTTGGAATGAAAGAAGATTTAGCCCTTTATCAAAGGAGATAAAAGCCGTTCTCAGGATTGTGTTAGTTAACACCAAAATAAATCCCAGTGATTTCAGTCAGTCTCTATGTAGGACTGAAAGAAGATTTATCCCTTTATCAAAGGAGATAAAAGCCGTTCTTTCTTCACATGATTTTCGAATGAGAAGGTACAAACTACCTTGGACTAATGCTCATTTACTTCATTTTAACATGTGGATACAAATGTTTAGTAAATGTGAATATAAATGCTTATGATGTAAGTTGTGGGTGATAAACTTGCAGGTCAAAGCAGGCATGCAGCTAAAGAGCCTGATAACTGAAGAGATACAGTTTGTATGAATTAAAGTCAATAATCACAGTTATGCGGTATGGCTCTGGAGGAGGTCTGAATTTGAACTAATTTATATACTGACTAATTTTGCCCCTTTAATATGAACAGGGAAAACTTTCAAGTTTTGTTAATTTCAGATTGGTTTTTTTTGGGGGGGGGTACAGCTGCTTCATTCTTTTTTGGGGTCACTTGGGTTATAGTCCTTCCATTAAACATAAAGGGGATGAGTTCTACCAGGTTATTATGTTTTATTTCCCCTCATTTGTGTTTCGAGCACTAGACCAAATGAAGCCACACAGAACCCTCAAAACTACTCCAAAGCAGCAGGTAAAAGGAAAATGACAATCATCTTCCCGAAAAGTGAGTGAGCACAACCATATATGAGAAAGAAAAATCAATCAACATCAGACTTATGCAGACACTAACAGTACTTTATAACACACATTTATCATTTATCATCACATGACCATCCTCATCCACATTTTGATAGTCACAAAGTACACATAAAGAAATTATCACTATGATCATTATTATCATAATTATATATGACAGTGCTACTTTATATTCATCCTCATCATCAGTAGTCATGGTAGAGTACTGCCAGTACCTGGTGCCACCCACACTACCACTATGTTTTTCTCGGATGACATAAGTAACCTTTGGGGTGCAAGAGAGGATGCTTATTCATCCTCATCATCAGTAGTCATGGTAGAGTACTGCCAGTACCTGGTGCCACCCACACTACCACCATGTTTTTCTAGGATGACACTGGGGGAGCCGAATTTCATCTGCCTTCCGCAGCTCACCGAGTGAGAGACGGTGGGTTTGTGGTTGGCCGGCTGCCAGCCTTTTGACAAGGGAACTGGCTAAGTCACCCTTTGCTCTGCAGGATTGGGCCCTGTCGCTTCTTGGCTGCCTCCTCCCCTCCCTACATCAGCCACCTGGCTCAAGGGGAAAAGAAGGCTTTTAAGTCGGAGCTGCTTCTGGGGCCCTTTCAGACCAGCATTCCTGCACTCGGGGGAGCCGAATTTCATCTGCCTTCCGCAGCTCACCGAGTGAGAGACGGTGGGACTATGGCTGGGCTCTCGCTGGCTGCCAGATTCCCTGAAGGAACCGGCTGGGGAACAAGCTGGGAAACAGGGGGGTCTGAGGGGTCTCTGGGGCAACCAATAGAGACAATATACGG